ATTGGAAAGACCATGGCCTGTATCAGATGCACCTTAGTCTCCAGAGAGACACCATTGCTCTTCAGTACTTTGGAGAGGTCCCTAACAGCAGACTTCGCCATCACAATGTGTCTTTTAATTTCCTGGCTGCTGGTACCAAGAATTTTTACTGTGGAGCCAAGCAAACTAAAGCTGTAAACAATCTCAATCTCTTCACCATCCATCTTGAGGCTGCCTATTGGTCCAGTGGTGAGAATCTTTGCCTTCCTGACATTGAGCTTCAATCCATAGTGAAGGCTGCATTCCTTGACTCTTTGCAGTAAGTGCTTCAGGTCCTCTTCAGGTTCAGCAAGCAGGGTGAAAAATGAGAGACTATAAATTCAAGAAACTGAGCCAACACCATATAGAATAGACCCCAAAAGAAGAACATCAAGGCGTATTACAATCACATTTGCCAGGACCAAAGATAAGGAGTGAATTCTGAAAGCAGTGAGGGAGAAACAGAGAGTAACCTATAAGGGAAAGCAGATAAGATTAAGTGCAGATGTCTCTGCAGACACCATGCAAGCAAGAAGACAGTGGAAGGACATATATCAAACACTCAAAGAACACAGCTGTCAACCAAGAATACTGTACTCAGCAATCTTACCTTCAAATACGAAGAAGAGATCAAGATATTCCCATAAAAACAGAACCTAAGAGAGTTTGTAAAAACAAGACCAGCATTGCAGGAAACACTGAAAGATGTCCTTCTTACAGAAGTGTCACAGAAAGCTGCATGGACCAAAGTAACTAGTAACAACACCAAAAAGAACTCAATGAAATGATAGCAATAAAAGCCTGCCTTTCAGTAATCACACTAAATGTGAAGAGTTTGAATGCACCACTAAAGAGAAAAAGACTAACAGATTGGATTTAAAAAAAAGAATCCATGAATATGCTGTCTACAAGAGAAACACCTAAAATAATGAAGGTAAGGAAAGAGTAAAAAGAAAAGGATGGGAAAAAATATACCAAGCAAATTACAAACAGAAAAAAGCAGGAGTAGTGATATTAATATCAAAGAAAATAAATTTTGATGCAAAACCCAACACAATGGACAAGGAAGGTTGCTACATAATGCTTAAAGGGTCAATAGAACAAGAGGACATAACAATAATAAATATCTATGCACCAAATGAAAGACCTGCAAAACATATAAAACAAACATTAACGAAACTGGAAAAGGAATTATACAACACTGACACAGTAGTTGGAGACTTCAATACACCAATCTCAAGAAAAGATAGAACTACCAGAAAAAACTCAGCAAAGATGCTCAAGAATTAAGCCACACAATAAAACAAATCTACCTCATAGGTCTTTATAGGCTAATGCAACCCCCCCAAAAAGCACAGTATACCTTCTTCTCCAATGTGCAGGGAACATTCTCCAGAACAGATCATATGTTAGGTCACAAGGCAAGCATCAATAAATTAAAAAACATGGATATAGTAGAAAGCATTTTCTCAAACCACAATGCTACAAAATTAGAAATTAATAACAAGAGGATAAAGGAGAAAAAATATTTGGAAGCTGAACAACACCTTGATTGAACATGAGTGGGTATTAGAAGAATAAAAAAATGAAATTAAAAAGTTTCTTGAAACAAATGACAATGAAAACACCACTTATCAAAACCTCTGGGAAACAGCCAAAGCAGTAATTAGAGGTCAATTTATAGCAATAAGTAAACAAATCAAAACGCATGAAAAAGTGACCATTGACTCTGTAACCCAACAACTCAAAAAATTGAGAAGAACAGCAAGAAAACCCAATACCCTTTAAAAACACTGAAAGTATAACAATTGAGCAGAAAGAAATGAAATAGAAAACTGAAAAACAATTGAAACCATCAACAAAACAAGGAGTTGGTTGTTTGAAAAGGTCAATAAAATTGACAATCCACTAGCAAAACTCACAAAGGAAAAGACACAAATAATCTGAATAAGAGATAAAATGAGCAATGTCAAAATGAACCAACTAAAATAAAAGGTCTAACATTAGAATATAATGAAATATTATACTCAAATGAATATGAAAACCTAGGGGAAATGGACAAATACTTAGAAATTCACAACATACAGAAGATTCCAAAAGGCAGCATGGAATGACAAAGCAAAATATTACAATGAAATGTGCGAGGAGCTAGAGTCGGAAAATCAAAAGGGCCGAACTCAATCAGCATTTCTTAAGCTCAAGGAACTGAAGA